AAAAAAAAAAAAAAGAAAAAATAAGACGAATAGAGAAAAAACTGACGCCAATAGCAGAAGAAAAAAAAAAAAGAATTACCCGTCGAAGAAAATCGTCACAAATCTTCGACAAATCAGACAATAAATGTCTAAATGTGAATTTAGAGAGAGGAAGAGATAGAGAAAGAGAAAAAGCAGAAATGAACCATTTATTTATTTATTTATTTATTTTTTTCTGAAATAATTTATTTATTTGTTTTGTGTACTTTGTGTACAGATTCTTGTTGATGTTAAGCAAAAAACACAGACTTTTCAGAAAATATACATTTATACCAGGTAAATCCTACTAATCAAGTAAATCTTCTCCGTTTCCTTCTTTCCTCCTCCTCCTTCTCCAAAAAAAGCAAAACTATATACAGATTGTGCTATTACTTTGTATACTAATAGATTAAATTTCTTCTTCTTCAGCAACACCGATAAAACATTAAAAATTAGTTGCTTGTTAAAAATATTTTACAGTTACCTAGCCCGAGTGACCACATGCAACTAAAAATATTGCTTTATCAATCTGTTCCATACACCTAATATACCAATGTATTGATGTATAGCTGAACACACTGCAGACCAATTAATCGGTATAAAAAAAAAACTTTGTTTCTTATTTTATAAACATCCACCTCCAAACACACAAATAGCTGTAAGAATCGGCTATGAATCTTGAGCCCCTCAGTTTACTGCACTCACACACTTTCCTGGAAGTTACCAACAAAACCTTGGAAGTGAGCATTAAAAAGAACTAACGTATTATCCAGTTTTTGTATTGGCAATAATATTAATGCTTACTCTTCTTAAGTCCTATATTATATCGAAAAACCAGTGTAAATGCTAGCTTTTAGATGTAAAACTAAAGAAAAAATTGATGTACTGGAACAAGAAACTTAAGCATTTTCTTAAATAAATGAAAAACAAATACAAAAAACCAAAAAAAAAAAATACTTCATTTTAAAATCTTTGTAAAATTATTTAGAGGTGTGTAGATCAAAATTTTCATTACTCTATTTCCCAAAGCTTCCGGAAGTTTACTTACTAAAGAACAACTGTAAAGTTAAAAAATAACCATTGTTTGCCGATAAAAAAGGCAGCAAATACAGAAATCCAGTCTTATCCGTGTTGTAGCAAAAGAAAAGTCAATTGTTATGTAAACTAGATAAGAAAGAAAAGAGAAAATAAAAGCAAAAGTTCATATTAAAATACAAATTTTGTTCCTTCAATAAACGGCAAAAAATATGATACAAAAAAAACTATTTTTTTCTTCACTGAAGGGTCAGTAATTCCAACCATTAAATTCAGAAGTATTAACCAAAAATTCAACATTAATAACAGCTATAAAAAACTGAAAGAAACAAACCGGGTCCGGTCCAGCTGAGAAACTTGACTGGGACTTGATTGTTGGTGCCTGAAAACTTGTACAGGTTTTAAGAAACCAAACTGATGCCATTGTCTCTTCATTTTGGATGTTTAATATTCTCATATCTAATTCTCATATCTAACTTCAAGCTGTCATAAGTCTTGAAGCTATTTTTTCCTTCACTCCTCCCTTCTCCTCTATTTTTCCTTGCCTCTTTTTCAACTATTGCTTCATTGGCTTTCAAAATGCAGTGAAAAACTAGTTGTTCTCATTTTATAGTCAACTGTTGTGCGACTGTAAATTTTCAGTAAATTACTGCTTGTTTTGCGAATATTCAACGTATTTTACCGTGTATTAATTTGCATAAAAAGATCATTTCAAAAAAATAATTATTCTTTGCCAAACAAAAAAAAATTCACTTACACGTTGCGGTTCAAACGGTTCAACGTAATTTGCCGGTAGATTACCATAGCGATTGTCAATTTTACCAAAAAGCCATTCACCCTCTGGATCTTGATGTTGGTCAAGTCGCGTGATAATCTGTATCACATCATCCTTCTTGAAACTAAGTAGGTTTGGCTCATTAGTTACGTAATCGGCTGTTGCTCGAACAAATACTTTGTTCTGTAAAAGAATTATTACTCTTACTTCATTTTTAAATCTGATTTTTTTACTGCTCAGCTATTGAATAGAAATTTTTTGGTTTATTTTAGTGAACGTTCCTCTTTGAGTAGCGACTGTTTATTGCCGTTTGCTGTCAAAAAAAATCCATTCAGCAGTTTACTAACCTTTGCAGATCCGGTAATAAATTGTTCGATTATGGATTTAATTTGTTCAGCTTGTTCAGATTTTATCCATATGACAAGACCTTTACGACTTACGATTTGCAAATGTTCTCGTTTTCCTTCTTCAATTGCTAATTCAGCAACATCTTCGTATCTTAAAAAGAAAAAAGAGAAGCATTAATAAAGCTTTCTTTAGTTATGTTTTTATTAAAAATAGCAAAGCTACGCAGTAATTTAAAGTACTGTTCAATTAATGAAGTACTGATATATAAAATCATTAAACCATCTAAAAACAGCTGTACAAAGTGAGCGGTAAGAAAATAACCAAAATGCTTAAAAAAGTAAACCTTCTGTACTTACAAGAAATGATCTGAGATGTACACAGGTTCTTCGGAATTACCAATATTTCTGGCAATCAGTCTAATTCCAGACTCGCTGATACCTAAAAGTCTGTTCACTAATTCACTGTCACGTTCTTCGACAACGTTGTAAAAGCGTGAAAAATATAGTGGCCATCGTCTTGCTGCTTCAATGACACTAATCTTAATCTCCACTCTCATCCTTTCTGGATGATCCAGATCCTCTGGTGGTACCGCGTTATCGCCTATAACAGAATCATTATAAGCTGGTTTGGAAGTTTACAATTGAGCAGCTTAAGCCAAATCTGCTGTTTAAGTTGTCTAAAATCCACTGTCGTATCCCAGGCTAACTTACAGAATAAGGAGATGTAACGTATTTTTTTCTAACAGCATTCAAGAGAAATAAATTTGATAAACAAAGGTTTAAATCTATAATGCTTTGATAAAACTTACGCAAAATTTTGTTGATTTCATCCTTTTCATACTGCCGAATACGATGCCGATTTGGTTTTCTGCAGTCTGTAATAATTTGGCTGAACAACAGGTCAATTTCATTGATGTCGTCCAATTGTTCGTAAGGGTAGAAAAGCTGAAAATGTTGCATCTTTTTGCAAAAAGTTTTTTAAAGCTGTGCATAGAATTCCTCAACACTAGTTTAACAACAGCAGCGACAAACTAATACATGAGTTTTTACAAAATTTTTAAAAAAAGAAATTTGAAGAATTGTATGACAGAATTGCAAAGCAAAAAATGATAAAACACGCGACATTTAGCTAATTATGCACTTTCTCAGAAAACCACTAGTTTGGAAAAAAAATATAATTCATCAAAAAACTGGGTTATTGTTTCATTTATTAACCTTTGAAATTTTGCTAAAACATATTCATTCAATGAGTAAAGATGTACCAATTGTGCTGATACCTGGTCAGACAGCGTAAGTACTGCCACTTTCACTGAAGCGACAAAAAAACTTAGTTTTTACCTCTTTTCGGATTGTCAGAGACCAAGGTTTCACTTCGTATTGCACAGCTGGCTTCTCTTTCTGCCTCTTAATTTCAATAGGGCTTATATTTTCTTGTTCCTGTGGCACTTGCGGCGGTGACTGCGGTACTGGTAATGGTGGAGCTACCGGAATGTCATTGGGAACTGAAATTATTAAAAACGCAAAATAGAGAACCTAAAAATTTACAGAAACATACCTTGAAACAATGCCTGTGATTATCTTTACAAAACTGTCGAAAACTCATACCGTCAAGACCTCTAGCGTAGAAGTTGCCGTAAAGTTGTTGGGATCGTAGACGAGTTACTCGAGGGTCTTCACGGCTTACATCTGATTGATAAATCCAATGTCCACCAGGCGTTGACTGTTCGTGGAATTGATCTTCCATCATCACCTGTCATACACATACCGCTTCTAATCCCACTTTTAAATTAGCTAGTAAATCTGACCGAGCAGCTAACATGTTGTATGGCTGATATAAAACTTTACAAAAACTTTTGGAATGAAGTGGTATTTTTTCCCCTACCTAATGCTTTTTAGTTTTAGCGAAAAACCAGTTGCACATAAGAAAGACCTACTCAGGTTTCTTTTTTACGCTTTTTGTTTTTTTTCAAATTCTGATAAATAAAACTATTTCATGGTAGAAACATACAGAAATTATACCACTCAACAGTGGGAAATTCTGTTCCAAGCAGAATACTAAGCCGGTCAATTTTTTTCAGATATTTCACAGTTTTTTCTAGCGGAAGCCTAGGAGAAACAATAGCTTATTTGCCACCGCTTCTTCATACTTTCCTCATCAAGTATTAGATATTTCAAAATGTTTAATTTGTCGCAGCAACCTACAGGAAGCTCTTGTTCTTGAGGTATTGGTTGTGGTGGTGGTGGTGGCGGTGGTGGCGGAGGTGGCACAGATCTCTGGTCTTGTGGCACTGTCTTGAAATGCAACTCCATCTGCTTTTTCCTCAAATTAGGCTTAAAAAACTTGGCCTCATCCACCGGAGGAGGCAAATCCTGAAATAAAAAGCTGATGCTAATGAGAACCTGCAAAAAAATCGCCATTTCCTTTCGTTCACAGAAAAAAATATCACTCTATGCGTATCAAAAAATCGGTTTAAATTTCAACCATAAATCAATTCTGTCTTGTGTAAAAAAATTACTGTTCAGCTGACCATATACATCAATAAATTGTTGTCTTAATTTTACAGTTTTGCTTTCATAGTAAAGGTTCCAGATTCTTTTTTTAAAACTTTAAGAAAACGGTTTTACCTGTAAAATTAGCTAGCTTTAAGGTAATTAAAGTTAGCGGTCGAAGAAGTTATGTTTTGTACAGGTCTTACAAACGTTTTGGTAGAGGTAAAAAAAAATTATACAGGTGATTAGGTAATAATAAAATTTTTTTCAGATCCATCTCGTTTTTCATTTATGTATATTTTTTCCTAATTTTAAAAAATTATACACAAAAACTTTTGCTTCAAAGCGCGAAACTTCAATTTGATCTTCAACTTCATCAGTGTGATTTAAAAAATTTGTTTGAAGTGTACAGCCAACACGTTAGATATTTGCAAAAAGTGATAAATTTAAGTATAAAAAATTAAAAACTGAGATGCAACTTGCGACATACTTTAGCTCGCTCTCTCAACTTTCGTAAAGCATCTTTTTCTAAGTCTCGTATGTTTGTTTGTGGCGGTAACAGTGGTAATCTACCAGGTATACGACGTTCAGAATTGGTGATATCCCCATGTACAACTGAATTATTATAATCCTCGAATGCAATACGATGCGGCCTACTGCCAGGATGCTAAAATCGGAACAAAGGAAGACACTTTCTTCTAACTGTTGCAAAAATCTCAAAAACGTTCTGCCGAAAAAAGTGAAAGCAACCTAAATTTGGTCATGCACTTAGAAAAATATTGAAAGTAATGAAAAAAAATGTTATATTGCATACTCTTGTCGAATGCTGTGGAATATTTTCGCGTTGATCGTTAAATGCAGACGGCATAGTATTATCGTGCCTTTCTCCATTAACTTTTAGAATTGCTGTAAGTGTATATGAAGACAATGAATTAAAATTGTTCTGGTGTTAGTATGACAAACCAACACGATACCAACGAATTACAGCATCATTGCTGAAAAACCGCTGTAACACAGTTACTTACAATGAGGTGGTGCTTCCAAATTGCTTTGCTGTAGCTGAACATTATTTTCGACATACTGTTGCTGTTGCTGTGATGGCGATGGTGCGTAGCCATTCCGTTGTTGTAATATAAATGGAGCCGGTTTTGGAATTTGATTAAGTGCTTCTTTTTGGATCTGAAAACTTTAGTGTAAAAGCCTACAGTTAATGTCAAGGGTTCGGACGTTGTCTGTAGTATGATGGTAAGCGAGTAGCTTGCTGTCACTTAAGACAAAAGTATGCCAGTCATCCTAGAAGATACAAAAAAAACTCAATTTGATTGATTCTCTTTTATAAAATAAATGATTTGCAATACATCATTAATGATTCACATAACAAGTCAATTTTAGACCTTTCAAAATGAATATTTTTTCTCTTAAATTTCTTAGAACAATTTAACGTCATAAACGTTGTTAAGATCGTTTATTTTAATTATTACTCAGTTTAGACCATCTTTGATATTTTGATTTGTTTTCATGTGTAAACAGTGTGTTTTTTTTTCGCTGTCAGTAAACATCCAAAATACGGACATTAATAACATTCTTGACATAAGCTTGGAAAAAAAGTTGTTTTTTTCTTTTAAATCAAGATTCAAAACCTAAGAACCTGTTTTATTGACGTACTGACAGGTTGTGGTGTAGGTGACAAATTTTGAGCATTAGCAGCACTGGATTCAACGACATTGAGATATCTGAAAACTACGTATTTTTCAGGTTTGACAATGAAGCATTGAACAACTATGTTGCCTAATTACACAACAACTTAATTCCTTACTAATCCTGTTTAAAGTTACCATACAGTAAACGAAGTGGTCAACGAAAACAACTGTATAAGTCAAGCTTTTATGTTATTCGCTATAACTGACAAAAGAAGTTTCAAAGATTCAACCTGGCTTTTGCTGCTCCAGCATTTACTTGATCATTCTGCAAAGCTTGGTTTCTTCTTGGCGGAGACTGTATGAACATCGGCAAAGGTGGACTTCGCTGCAATTAAAAAACCCGGTGTACAGTTGAAAAATAAAACTGATTCGAAAAATACGGTACTGAAAAGCATTTTTTCGTTGACAACTCAAAAAACATCAGAAAAAACAAGGTTATAACAGTTCTGCGCTACAACTTACCACCAAGCTCCTATTCAGTAATGTATATTAGCCTCACTTAATTTGGTGTTAAAGTTTGTAAAGGAATTACAATATGACAAAAATCTAAGTCTCTTTCAAAAAATAAGAATTTTCCGACAACCTATTAATCAAAAAACAAAAATGATTCTATGCACTGTTCATAGACCACTAAA